ATTTTTCAATGCAAAATTTTGTATTGTACTTATTTCATTATTCGCACCCATTCCTCAAAATTTCTGAATTTTTCATTCTTAAGGTCACGTGAAGATCATGGTATTACAGGCCATTGGATTCGTCTTGACCTCAGCTATCACGCTATAATGAAAAAAATATGTAGTCCTATTTAAAAAAGTATCGATGACCTTGAAGGCTCTAAAAATATGACCTTGAGAAAGAAATAAATCTCGCCATAATGTGTATCCCTTCGAACCAAACAATTTCTTCCTCAGGCATTTTCGCGTATCATTAACGGTAACGGAGATATTGCCTTGTAACAGAGTTACTGGGACACCCGGTATATTAAAAGATGTGTCATAGGAAGTAGATGAAAAGGGGCTACAAAATTAAAATTGGCAGTAACACGTTTATTTAATGCAATAAAAATTTGTGATGATATAGATACGTATAAGCCTTTTTTATAACAATTTGCTGCCAAATACGCATTATTTTACAGTTTGTTATAATATATTATAATATTATTCAATTTCTTAGCTACGAAAAAAAACAAATAAGTAAACTTTTTGAAATAATACTCTTTTAGAAACGGTGAACTCTTGAAATAAATTCATTTATGTGATTATTATTTATTATGGCCATTGCTATTTGTTTGTTACGTGTGAGACTTACGCCAAATAATGATTTTTAATGTTGGAAACTTTTAGAAAGTTAAAATTGCATTCAAATTGCTAGAAATTTCCAACGATTAAAAGATTAATTATAGACCAAATTAGAGGTAATTGTAATATTTAAAAGTAAGTCCTAAGGGATTTCCTTTTTGTGATTAGCAATTTTTTAATTGATTTAGAAAGATAATAATCTTTGGTTTTTTTATCTTTATTATATTAGGTGTACAACTTTTTTTCCGCCGTTTTTTTTCTGAAATTCGAGGCTTTATTGTAAAAAAAATGGTTATACATTTATGATTCAAAGTATTGTCCATCGCTGGCCACTACTTTCTCCCATCTTTCGGGCAGCGAACGAATCCCGCGTCGAAAAAACTGGTCATCTTTTGAGGCGATCCAAGAATCGCCAATTTTTTACTTCTTCATAAGACCGGAAATGCTGGTCAGCCAGTCCGTGTGCCATTGATCGAAACAAGTGATCGTCAGAGGAAGCAACGTCTGGAGAATACGGCGGGTGGTGTAGGACTTCCCATTTCAACGTTTCCAAGTATGTCTTGAACTTTCGCAACATGGGATCGAGCATTGTCATGCTACAAAATTACTTTATCGGGGCTCTCGTTGTATTGCGGCCATTTGTCTTCCAATGCTCGGCTAAAACGCATCAATTGCGTTCGATACCGATCGCCTGTGATTGTTTCAGTCGGTTTTAACAGCTCATAATACACCGAGCTGGTCCCACCAAATACAGAGCATAACCTTGGAGCCGTGAATATTCGGTTTGGCCGTCGACGTGGAAGCATGGTCGGAAACTCCGCATGATTTTCTGCGGTTGGGGTTATCGTAATGAACCCATTTTTCGTCCCCAGTCACAATGCGATGCAGAAATCCCTTCCGTCTTTGCCTTTCAAGCAGCTGTTCACAAGCAAACAAATGCCGTTCAACATCTCTCGGCTTCAACTCGTACGGCACCTAATTTCCTTACTTCTGAATCATTCCCATGGCTTTGAGGCGTTTTGAAATGGCTTGTTGAGTCACTCCCAATGATTGTGCCAATTCTTCTTTGACACGAGTCTTAATCAAGTAATGCCTCCAATTCTGCATCTTCGAAAACCTTCTCTCTTCCACCGCTATGCCAGTTTTCGACGTCAAAATCACCGTTCTTGAAGCGTTGAAACCACTCACGACACGTTCTTTCACTAATAGCGGCCTCACCATAAGTATTTGAGAGCATTCGATGAGCTTCAGCCGCAGATTTCTTCATATTGAAGCAGAAAATTAAAACCTCCCGCAAATGACGAGAATTTGGCTCGTAAACTGACATTTTCAATCGAGAATAACTTTATGATGCAGACACAAATAGACTAATGTTTCTATGGGGTTATGTTGACAGATGCCCAAGTTTATTGTATGACGTCTATAATCTATTTATTTCGACCACCACTTACCGCTAAAGCCATCTATAGGAAAACGGCGGAAGCACAGTTGTACACCTAATAATTTATATTTTATTTGAGATACTTTATCATATTCATATGCGTGTAATAAGGCCCAACGTCAGAATTAAAATATTTTTTTTGTTTATTTACAAATAATCTATATAGAAGATATATTTTATTTTTGTGAATGAGTGAAATCATTATTTTATTTTCAAAACTCTTTGTATCGAGTTATTTCGATACTCGATGTTAATCCATAACTTTTAGTTTTAATTTTACATTTTTATATGCTTGAATAAGAAATAATATGCGATGTATGTTGACAGATTGCTTAGTATCCGCTGAATTAAATTTTTCTGAACTTAAAGATAACGTTTAAATAAATAAAATATTGTACATTTTCTTATTCGTATACAATATTAAGTTTAGAATTTGCTTATTATTATACTTCTATTCTTATACTCTTTGTCATAGTATGACAACAATAGTAAAAGTAACAACAATGTAATAAGATATTGTATCAATAATAAAATATTGTATCAAGCAGATCGAATATATATTTATGTATTTATAAATAAAGAGAAATTTTTACAAACCTCCACCGACGGAACCAAGCACGAATCGATAGCCACTTTCGAGCATTTGTACAATTATACCACGTTCATCCGGACTCTGCAAAGTAATATTTACTAAATTGAGTAATTAATATTTTCTTGAGCATTGTGTAGCTTAGAATTCATGTTTCAGATTTTAAAACAAAATTATATTTATAATTTTATGTGCTGTTACTTAATGCATATTTTTATGTACATATAATATGCATGTTTAATTTTTATATTGTGTGTGTGTGTGTGTGGTGTGTGTGTTTGCGCGCGCATTTCTAATCTTCAAATGTATTAAACAATACTTAAAAATACAAATTAAAAATAGAATTAATAAAATTAATAAAAATTATAAATAAAATTCTAAAATTCTTGAATTTTGACACGAAGTATGGATCGTCAAAACTAATCTAAAATAGGTTTTAAATATTCGAGAGATATTTCACACTTTCGAGAATATCTGACAACATAATTTCTTAAATTAAAATATTCTTCTATTATACATACCGATACAGCTTTAATCTCAGCAACACGCTTTGTAATCTGTTTGAAATATTGCTCGGGTGTAATAGCCACAAGGTCATTGTATACAATCTTCCTAAAATTAGAAACGATCGAGTTTAATATATACATACATAAATACACACATATGTATATGTGTACATACTCACACATATACATATATATACAGGGTGTCCGACTGTGATCACGATTTTTCCGGCACTTCCGATGATCTGACAAAAATTAGTTTCGATAAAAGTTAATCAGTTATCAATCGGTTACAAATTGCAATACTAAAAGTTTGCAAAATACTCTTTTTTATGAAAAAATCAAAGACGCCCTAATTTTTTTAAATGGCACTACATATTTTTTATTTCATAATATTATAACTGATGTCAATGACCTGCTATACTATGACCTTGAGATGACCTTACAGTCGTGGGATTAATGAACGGAAACATTTTCGTGAAAAATTATTTTATTTGTATTAAATTTTTTATATGAACTATTCTACAGTAGAACAAGATTTTTGTATCTGCTACTTTTTTACAGACATTGATTCTTGTTTTTTAAATGAAACTACATACAAAACAACAAATTATAATAAAAAATCGTAGCATAACAAAAGAGTACAATAGAACAAAAAATTATATAATAACAAATTTAATGAAAGAAATTACGTAATTACAATAAGTGATCGAATTGTCCATTTTCTTGTAGGCACAATTCTGCACTATGTAATAAATTTCCATTAGTTGCTCCTATAATGCTGTCACGGCAAATTACTTCACATACTGTACGGATTAGCTGCTTTAAATGTTCCATATTTTGAATTGGTACCGCGTAGACTAATCGGGGGACCAAGGTGTCCAAATTTCTTCTAAATGTGCTAAGGCCGTAAGAGTATTGCCTGCAGTTGTAGTTAAATGCGGTTTGTTCCTTTTCTTCTTTTCAAATTCTCTATAATTTCATAAATTCTTTTCAATGTTTCTAAAACATTGTTGCACATGGGTGATGTCTTTGTAGGTACCTTGTGGCATACAGAATTGCAGTTTCACGTGCATTCCTTTTACATTCATCAAATACTAGCAGCATATCAATTTTCTCATTATAGGAATACATTTTCGACAAACTGAGACTGAACTAAGATTTGTTCTAACGACAGACTAAGACTGAACACAAGAATACATACTACATACACGTGTGTGATAAATTGTGAACTACATTCGGGAATATCATGAATTCCGAAATGGCTACATCTGTTCCTCACGTCTGACTGTAAGGTCATAGTATAGCAGATCATTAAACTTGTCTTGATATCAGTTACAATATTATAAAGTAATAAATATGTAATGCCATTAAAAAAAATAGGGTGGCCTTGACTTTTTTCTAAAAAAGAATATTTTTCAAATTTTTAATATTGCAATTTGTAGCCGATTGAAAACTAATTAACTATTATCCAAAATAATTTTTGTCAAATCATCGGAAGTGACGAAAAAATCGTGATCACAGTTACGTCGGACACCCTGTATATCTTAAATATATACCGTGTGTCTGCGATCACCCTTGCATTCCTTTTATCTCAGAAAGAGAGTATTTTAGAAAAAAACTTTTCAGATAAAAAAGTTGTATGGTTTTGAGGTGTACGTATCCATATCATCTTACGACGATGTCATTGGTTTGACCTTGAATAGCCATTTGAAAGTCATATGAAGATTACGTTGATTTTTCCAAATGATGCACCCCATTTTTCATTCTATATTCTTGTAGCTTATCTCGAGAACTTTCCAAAATACTATAATCAAATATTTTTTCATTAAAAACTTTTTGAGTTATAACCCTTGAAAATTACAGTACAGCCAGCATTAGCATTATGCAATGCGTCCGACCGATGGTTAAAACTTCTTGAATGTTGTTCAGGATCATATCCTGGATTACATTGATCAAGATCAAAGCCATTGGAGGTTATTGTTTTACAAGATATTTTATATTTTGTCAAAATGTTGAAACTTTCAAGTCTTATAACTCAAAAAGTTCTTAATGAAAAAATATTTGATTATAGTGTTTTGGAAAGCTCTCGAGATAAGCTACAAGAATATAGAATGAAAAATAGAGTGTATCATTTGGAAAAATCAACGTGGTCTTCATATGACTTTCAAACGACTATTCAAGGTCAAACCAATGACATCATCCTATGTACACTTCGAAACCATACAACTTTTATCTGAAAAGTTTTTTTCTAAAATACTGTCTTTCCAAGATAAAAGGGGTTTACGGATGGTCTCAGACATTCAGTATACAGGTCTCAGAAATAAGGTTGAAGTCGCATTGAGGGTGTAGAATAGGTCAAGGGGAACAAAAAAGTCTGATACCATTTTGATATATTCGCTGTAGTTTTCGAATTAAAAAAGGAAACGTCTAAGCCAATGTGCGGTGAAGCCGCGCCGCGCGAATTCGTACAACAGCTCACATTTGACAGCGGCGGCGGTGGCGGTGCGCAAGGAGGGGGTGGAGCGTTATCCTTCCCCCTCCTTGCACGCCGCCGTCGCCGCCGCTGTCGAGTGTGACCCGTTGTACGAATTCGCGCAGCGCGACTTCACCGCACATTGGCTTAGACGTTTCCTTTTTTAATTCGAAAACTACAGCGAATATCTCAAAATGGTATCAGACTTTTTTGTTCCCCTTGACCCATTCTACGCCTCCAATGCGGCTCCGGCCTTATTTCTGAGACACCCTGTATATTTAAGACATATATGTATATGTATACATACTCACATACTTTTTTATTAAGAACTTTTTGAGTTATAAGCCTTGAAAGTACTGCCGGCATTAGCATTATGCAATGTGTTCGACCGATGGCTAAAACCTCTTAACTGTTGTTCAGGACCATGGATTACATTGATCAAGATAAAGGCCATTGGAGGTTATTGTTTTACAAGATATTTTATATTTTGCCAAAATGTTGAAACTTTAAAATTTTATAACTCAAAAAGTTCTTAATGAAAAAATATTTTATTGTAGTGTTTTGGAAAGCTCTCGAGATAAACTATAAGAATATGCAATGAAAAATGGGTTTACCATTTGGAAAAATCAATATGATCTTTATAAGATTTTCAAACGACTATTCAAGGTCAAACCAATGACACCATCTTATGTATATCTCCAAACTGCACAACTTTTGTCGAAAACGGTTTTTTTTCTAAAATCCTCTGTTTTCGAGATAAAAGAGGTGTACGAGTGGTATAAGACACCCAGTATACATATATGTATGTATATATATATGCATACAGAGTGTTTAAAAAGTAACGATAAATCTTTCGCATATGGGCAGAATGGACTAAACTGGCAAGAAAAGTTCTCTACTATTTTACAATTTCCGCGATGGTTAACTAGTTATTAATTTATGAAAATAACCAAATTCGTCCAGCCTACCGCTAAATACAAGGGCGCGATAGGATAAGACTGCCTAGCACGTTGAGGCGCACGTTCACCGTCGCTAAGCACGTTGTTTATAAGCGGCAATTGCCATCACTAGGCACGTAATGTCTGTTCTCAGTTTAGTCCATTCTGCTCATATGCGAAAGATTTATCGTTATTTTTCAAACACTCTGTATATAATATATGGCAAAGTTGTAATCATAAAGCATAAAAAATAAAGAAAAGAAGGATAGAAATTAAATAAAACCAAATATATCATCGATGACACTATCTGAAGCAGTACTATTATAAACAGAGTTCTGCCTGAATATAATTCATCATACATCTTTACATTATATCTGTTTTAACATAAGATAAGAAATTTGTTAGTGTGCTCATAACAAATATTTACATATACCATCGTCCTAAGATATTGAAAAAAGTAGATGAGAATAAAAATATTAAGGTATATACATACATAAGTCTGACAGTGAATCGTCAAAACTGACTCTCACCGATTTTAATGAGCTTTGGATACGTTGTAGAGCATGGAAAAATATTAGACTTATATTTTTCTTGTGCTTATCTCGAATTTTAGAGGGTGAAATGCCCCCTCAAAAATAATGGATTGTATCGTCCTTTTTAAATATATTTTAAACTATGGGGTATATCGAAAAATGTTTTATATAAAAGTTGTATAGTTTCTAATGCTCTGTATAACGGCATAAAAGATATTTGTTTATAATAATTTGTTGCAAAAATCAATTTTGCAACAAATTGTTATAAACAAATTATTAAAAATTGATTACAGAGAAATTCTGATTAAACCAATCGATTGTACGGGAAATATTATTAAAGGAGCATGCATTTTTATGTTAATGCAAAAAAAACAAATAAATTATGAAAAGTCGTTTCCGTTCATGCCTAGATCACCAAGGATAGATTGGGTTGCCAAAAAATGACAACTGTAAATAGGACCGAGCATGAAAAAATATTTTTGACGTTAAAAGTACATTGCAAAAATCAATTTTGCAATTAATTGTTATAAACAAATAATTTTTACATAAGCAAAGAACATTTTAAGAAAGAGTTATACATACATGTTTCTTAATAATTTTTCCCATACAATAGATTGGTATAGTTTAATTATCTAGAACAGTGCTCGTAAAAATCTGCACATTTCGAGCCGATTCCTGCGGGTCGGACGTCACCTACTGTCCTCCCCACTACTGCTCGAGGCTCAAGATCGTGTGTATAGGTATACTATATCAGAAATATCCTGGAAGCGCACCTTCCGCCAAATCATTATTGAAATATGTCTTTATTAAATAATTTATTTCTATTAACATAAAATTTTTTATTGTTAATTTATTCAATGTTCCTTAATGATATATTTATATCTTAACGTGGTTTTCTAATACATATTTAAAATATTTGAAATATGTATTAGAAATACATACAAGAATACAGCATACAAGAATACAGTTCACTATGGAGGTTGGCATTGATGGAAAAATAAGTTTTTTAGACACTTTGATTATTGTCGAGGATTGTAAATTAATATTTGATGGCTACCGTAAAGCTACTTTTTCTGGCAGATTCCTGAATTTCCATTCCCAACATCCGATCTGTCATAAGAGAGGTGTTATATATGGTGTCATAGATAAAATAGTTCGCTTA